TTTAACTCATTTCCCGGCACGAGCATAGGCCCGTGCCGGTTCAGGTCCATGAAACCCAACTCACAGGCGCCCGACAGAGTTTTGGCCATGTCTAAGTTTCAGAATTGTTGCAAACTCGTAACCCATGTTTTAAATACCATACTGTACCGGCCAGTAATACAGGTAATACCGATACCGAATTTGTACAATTACACTCAAAATACAGAGTAACGGTTATACCGGTTTGCACTGGGATCATATCGTAAAAATTGCAAGATACCGGTCAATAAAAAATAAAAAAATAAAATTTTTTAATTTAAAAAAAAAATTAATCTATATCTATATATATATATAAAGAGGGAGTTGATGGAATTGATGTTACTAATGATAGCAGTAAATGCTTCTTTTGGAAATGGTATCAACAATATTTTTGGAAATAAATATATAATTAGTATGTTTATCTTTTAAATTTAATAAATCATTCATGATAATTAGTTAACAATTTAATATGTAATAAGTATTTTCTATGACTTGATTTTTAGAAATAAATTTATAATTAGTATGTCTGCCCTTTTGATTTACTAAATCATTCATGATAATTAGTTCTCAATTTAATATATAATAAATATTTTCTGACTTAAAATACGATATTAATTAATTACTGACATATTTAGTGATTGAATTAAATGATATAATACATATTAGTGCCTATGCATAATATAAATATCATGAAAATTGGTGCCTACGCATAAAATAATATTATGAGGCTTATGATTCAACCTGATTCAAATTTCAAAAAGTGCCTATGCATAATATAATTATTACGCCGTGCACTATTATTCAGCCTGATTCAATTTTCAATTAGTGCCGCCTATGCGTAATATAATTATTATATTTGAAGTTTTTAAAAGCTATTAAATTGAGAATTTTAAGTAAACATTCTATATAAAAATAATCATAAATTTTAGTTTCAATTTTTCTAAAAATAAAAAATCAATATAATTATGAGAATCATTCAGTATGAAAATGTAAAAAATAAATTTTAATATGACTTTTCACCATATATTTAATAATATATATATACATGTACCATCTATATCTATACAATGGACCAATCCTTATTGCTATAATTAACATAATTTTAGGCGGGAATTTTTTTTCGTCTATATTTGAAATTTAATTAAAAATTACTTATTAGCAAATCTTATGCATGAAAAACATGTTATTTTTTATACACGAAGTGACTACTACTCAATAACTACAAATTGTATTAAATTTAAATTTTGACCGCAGTTTTATTAGATATATTTTCAATGAGATATTATATTAATTTAATAGTAATTTATTGACACAATTCAAAAAATTATTATGAAAAATGATTTGATTAAATATATTATCATCTATGGTTGTAGAAACTAATTTAGTTAATTATATTTACTATTCAGAAGCACTTAAAATATATAATAAAATAATTAAAATAACTATGTTTAAATCACACTAACTTAATAAATAATTTAAAATATTAATAATGGTTTATAAAATATAGTCAATTTAGTTATAAAAAGGTACATCCCTATTGAATACATTATATGCAGTGATAATACTATTAATAATTTAAATAATATACTAATACATATAAAATTGTGGGGTGCAACTTAGAATTCTGAATTTCACATTTGAAATATCTATGCACCGTAAAAAAAAAAAAAACTATTTAATTTTTTAAAAATATATAAGTTTTCTTTTATACTATTTTAAAAATATCTATATCTATATCTATATCGTTATCTATATCTATATAATGGACCAATCTTTATTATTATAATTGACATAGTTTTAGGGGGAAAAATATTTTCATTTATATTTAGCATATACTTAGCCTTTATCTATTAGCAAATTTTATACGTGAACATTAATTATTTTTTGTTTACTCATTGACTAATATTCATTAGTTATCAATTGAGTTAAATATAATATTGATTGATGACATATATTTTCAATAAGACCTAATATTAATTTCGTAGTAATTTTTAACACAATTAAAAACACTATTCAAATTTTGAAATATTGATTTGATTAACTATATTATTATCTCATGGATGTAGATTTTAACTTTATTAAGTATAATAACCTATCAGAAGTACTTAAAATATCTAACAAATAATCAGAATAACTGTGTTTGAATCATATTAACTTAATGAATAATTTATAGTAATAACAAAATTTGCTAAAGTATAGTCAACATAACCATTAAAAAGTTTATGTTCATTGAATATATTATTTTATTAGATATACTATTGAAAATCAAATTTAATATATTAATAAAATTATTATTTGATGGTCGAGTGAAATTGAGAATTATAAACATTGGAAATATATGCATACATAAAAAAAAAGATTAAGTTGTAAAAAGCATATTCTTATTACATACTATTTAATAAAGAAAAATGAGTAAAAAGGATAATATATATAGTCAAATATCATAATTAAAAATTATAGCATTTGATTATAATTGAAATATATAATTTATCTAAACATTTTAATTAGATATTAATACACTCATTATATATGTTGAATATATTTAGTAAATATATAAATATATACAAAAAAATTTAAAATAAAAATAAATAGTTTACTATGAAAAAAATGTGTTGCATGTTTGTTATGTTTTTGTGCTAATTTTTTATGTGTTTATTTGCGTGTTCGAGTCGATTTTAGGTTTGTTTTAGCGTTGTCCGGTCCATTTTGGCGTTTATCGTGTGTTTTGATGTTTTATTGTTTGTTTCATATTTCGGCGTACTTTTCCCGTACTTTTGCTATGAATTTCAGGTTTATTCCGGGATAGAGATGGAGAGTCGAGCCATGTTCCGAGAGAGTCGAGTCACGTTCTGAGAAATGAGCATTACCCGAAGAAATCGAACTTCCGAAGAGTTTCAAGCCATTTTA